ACGTCCCCCACTCTCTCATACAACCTCACACAGAGCCCCTAGTCGATTTTGCAGGAAGAAGCGTTCACACTCGGGGGTACGTGGACCTACTGACAACTTTCGGAGCACCTCCGGATACAAGGCGGGTCATGGTTCGATACCTCCTCGTGGAAGCCGACAACTCCTATAACATCATCATCGAGAGGCCAACCTTGAACCAGCTCAGAGCGGTGGTATCCACCCCACACCTCACCATGAAATTCCCAAGGCATGATGGGAAAATTATCTCCGTCAAGGCGAACCAGAAGACGGCACGACAATGCTACATCGAAAGCCTGGAAATCGCCTCACTCAGTGAACAGTGCAAGAGCGACCCCACCTCCGTGGCTCACGCCAACCACGAAGAAATCACCGATCTCGAACCAAGATCCGACTCTCACGACGAACGGACTAGCCCCGTTGACGAGCTCGATGACCTTCAGATCGGGAAACTCCCCGGGCAATCCACGAAGATCAGCAGACAGTTGACCCCAGAGTTGCGACAGCAACTCGAAGCAGAAATCCTCAAAAATGCCGACCTCTTCGCCTGGTCCAGCGCTAATATGCCGGGCATAGACGCTGATTTCATTTGCCACAAGCTAGCAATACACAAGGAGGCAAAACCAGTCGCCCAGCGGAAGAGGAAGGTAGGCGGCGAAAGGCGGGAGGCCATCGTCGTCGAAATGCAGAAACTGCTGAATGCTGGCTTCATTCGTGAGGTCAGGTACACCACATGGCTGGCGAACGTGGTCCTGGTAAAGAAGAACTCGGGCAAGTGGCGGATGTGCGTCAACTACACCGATCTGAACAAAGCATGCCCCAAGGACTCATACCCCTTGTCGAGCATTGATAGGTTGGTCGACAGAGCCTCCGGACACGCCCTCCTCAACTTCCTCGATGCCTACTCCGGGTACAACCAGATAATGATGCACCCACCTGACGAAGTGCATACATCCTTCATCACCGACCATGCCAACTACTGCTACCGGGTGATGCCCTTCGGCCTCAAAAACGCATAAAATGTATGTTAAGAATTGTAATTTGAACGTTCTTGATAAAAGACCAAAATATACATTTTTGTTATATTTTTATTACATGATTTGAAAAATATAAATTAATTCCTAACCAGGAGGCACTGCCACCTTTACTGGAGTTAATTTATATTTCCTGTATTATTATTTATATATATATATATATGTGATTTCTTGTTTTCACTAAATTGTATTGAAAATCTTAACTTCTTTTCTTTTGTAATTTTTACATTGGAGTTATAATTTATGAGTTATGAATGTGAATCTTCTACCTTGTGATATTTGAGATATTTGTCAATTATGAAAGATTTTATTTACTCAAAAAAAAAGTTGTTTACATTTATTGTGTATAAGTGTTGGGGTTGAGGGTGTCACACACTATATATATATATATATATATATATATATATATATATACATAAAGTATATCTACCAAATAGCTCGATATTTCCATGGCGTTACAAATAGGATTTGGAAACCAAGTCTTTTAAGGTTCAATAACACAACACAAAGGTTTGGTTACATAACAAACCAATTATTTCAATTAATTCAATGATGAATGATGCCAAATTATAAACCTGAGGGTACTCATAACCCTTTCAAAATATCACATAAAAACCTAAATAGACTTACAAATCACTTCATTACCCACAATTCTTATGAAGGTCCCAAAAATCATTTAACATATAACTATGAATTTGACAAAACGTTTCCACTTCCAGTAGTGCTCTTATTTATATTAAAGAATACAAAATAATATAGTATATTTTTATCATATTTGTTAACTTTATCTATCATTTTCTTTTTGACTTTTCAAACACTTTTTACACTTCCAATGAAAATTATTTTCTTGTTCACTTTCTGTATTATTTTATCACTTATAATGAGAAAATTTTTTCTTTCACTTTCATTTTTGCACAATATTCTCACTTTTTAGCGAGAAAAAATATTCTTAAAATTTTTTTATTTGACAATGTCTTCTAAATCATCACAAAAAAATATTCTTATAATTTATTTTCTTGATTTTGTCTTCAAGATCATTTGTATTTAAATAAATTTCATAATTATATGAATAATAAAAAATATTCTATCAAATACATAATGTGAAGAATATGATTAGAGGTAGAGTATGATTTGAGTTAAAATAACTAACCTTGACACATGATTTGAAAAATATGATTTTTTTCAAGAAAGACTTTCACAACTTTATCTTGTAGATTGTAACACTAATGGAGGAAAGAATATTGTGCTAATAACATGTTATGAAAATCAACATAAAGTTATGAACTTTCATATAGAAACAATATAGCGAAAACAATATAAAGCAGATAATATAGAGTTTCTTATATTATTTTCAACAATGAGATAATCTATATATAGACATAAATGGTTACAAATAAGGTAACAATATTAAGGTGAAATATAAATGACAATAATTGACAACCACCGTTAAATATTCATAATAATAAATTATCATGGTTTTAAATTGCGATTGTGGTCGTGGTTGCGGTTATTGCGGGTATTGTGATGCGAATTGCGACCGTTGCGGTATGAAATTATTAATTATTTGCACTAAATATAAAAAATTTATAATTATTGATATATATTTTATTTTTAAGGATTTATACATTTTAATTCATTTTTTAAAAATATTTATTATTTTAATGAATAATTTAATTTATTTTAAAATTATAGTATCAATTTATCGTATTGCGGACACAACACGGTTATGTTGCAAAAAAATGTGTGATTTCCAGTCTTACCATAATTGAGGTCCAATGCCATTGCGGACAAGACCGTAACCGCAATACTGCGGTCGCAACATATGATGCGGTCCGCAATTTAAAATATTGCAAATTACCAATTATTATTGGAGAAGTTGCACATGATAAAAAAAAAATGAATTCGGTAGATAACGATCAACAATTATGTTAATTATTTTTTAAATAGTTTTTGTTGAACAATTTATGTAGAAGATTAGGTAAAAATTTTATTAAATTTTGTAAATTAAATTGAATATTACATTTTATTTAACAATTATTTTAAGGATTTTAGAAAATTATGTATAAATTATACATGCAATGCTTGTAAAAAAAATAAATTAATGATATATACATTTATATTAATTAAAATTGATATTAAATTATTTTTTTTATTTTAATTCTTGAATTCTATTATTACTAACCATTCAAGCTAAAATTGATTAATATTACTATATAGTTGAACTATTTATGGAGTTTTAGGAATCAAAGTTTGGATATTTTTAAATAAAGAATAACATATTTTTCTTTATTATTAATTTCCTATATTAAAAAAAATAAAAATTATTCAATTTTTATTTTCCCAAATTATAAGTTTTATAAGATTGAATTAACTAAAATATGACATTAATCATTCGATATCTCAATAATATTGTAATGTTTAGTGTGCAACTCATTAGTTTTTTTTAGAATATTTCAATATTAACAAGAAAAAATGATTCATAGTATAAATTAATTTTTAAAAAAAGTTATGATGTCTATTAATAAATTATGAAACTTTAATTAATCAAAATGAAGGGATAAAAAATGAAGAGATATTAGATAAATTATTTTAATATATAGATTTTTTTTAAAAATATTAGATGTTCAAAATGTAGAGTCACAACAAAATCAAGAGGATTGAGAAAGTAACATGGTAATTTCTAAAGGGGTCAAGATATATGGAGATGTGATATTTGTAACGTTGATAGAAACTGCATCATCAACGATGATATATGGAACAAAGGAGAAAAATATCATGTTTATGTTACTTGTTGCCTTTTCAGGTTTTAGGTGGTGCAATATGTTTACATTCAACTAATGATTTGACTAAATTATATAATGTACTTAAGCCAAATACCCTAGAGAACAAGGCTCACAATTCTTTATAATAGTTGATGTTTTCTATAAAAATAAAAAATAAAAAAATACCAACAACTTTGATGGATGGGTTAATATCCATAGTAACAGTTTATTTTATTTTTGAATATAAGATTAAGATGATGGTGATTATTTTTGTTGCTAGTTAATGGTGTTGTCATTCAAAGGGATTACAACAAAGTTATGGAAGAGACATATTCTAGTTTCTTCTATTAAATTAGATTGTTTGGGACAACATGCATAGATATTGTCATATTCTTCTACTTCAAATAAGATAAATTTTTGTTCTTCTTTAAATTTTTAACATAAATTGTAGGTGTATTTGAAACAATTTTTGCATTGAAATGGAACATATCAAAATTAAAAATAAAATAAACCTTAAGTTTTATAATTATCAATTAGTAAGATGTTAATCTTAAATTAAAATTAGTGCGCAAGTTAAATTTTTAACATATTTGTGCATGTGCGCGTCGTTATTGTCATTTTTAACATGAATTATATATGCAATTTTTCAAATTTGATAAATTTTTACTTTTCTTTAAACTTTAACATGAATTGTATGTGATTCTTAAATTATTTTGTATTGAGAAATGTAACATATCAATATTAAAAAAATATAGTCTTTTAAATTTTATAATCATTTATTATTGAAGATGTTGACCTTAAATTAGAACTAACACGTTAAACATAAAATTTAACATGATTATACATGCACTTGTGTGTGTGTCATGTTGTCATTAGTATAAAATATAATATATTGTTATGTATCTTGATAAGTTCTGTCTCCATCCAAGGAAATTTCCTCGCTAATGTCACATAAAGAAAGAGAAGGAATTCATCTACTTAGACACTGTTCAGAGAGGCAAGTTTTTTTCTCCAATTCTCTATTTCTTCATCTCTAATAAAAATTAACTTGAGCATTACATGATTATAGTCCATTTTCATGCCATTAATTTACTCAGTATATCAAATGTCAACCAATTTTCTACACCCTAACTCGTTACTCTTAACATTTTAAATATTTTCTTCCATCATTAATTTACTCAGTATATCAAATGTCAACCAATTTTGATATCTCACTGTCCACATATAAAGATTAAATTACCACCTCAAAAACATAAAACAGAAAAAAATTCCTCTTAGGCAAGGTCATGCATGCCATTGCTTATTGCTACATAGCCATTACACAGACATATATGCAAATAATACATATTCGCACATAGATAAGAAACAACCACCTGAACTCACAAGTCACAACAAAGTTGCCAAAAAAATGGCCAAGATTTGGTAAGTCTAACATGCTCCAAGTTTCTTGCCATCCACAAGTCTCTTCCAATACAAAGCAATCTCTTTTTGAGTCTCTAATGCACTCTTATTAACTTTCTCACTAGTCTCACTAGTGATGGCTGTGACATGGGCAGCCCTGGTAGAGAGGGGGCTTGGAAGCGCGTCCAAGAGCTTCACAACTTTCTCTATGTCATGAGCAAGTCTCTCGGCCAAGCTGCGGCTGAAATCCTCCCTGATCACCACCCGGAGAACTGCAATGTGTTGCGCGTCTGGCGGCATTGTGTAGGCCGGAACTATCCAGCCGAATTTTCTGAGGTGGTCTGATATCTCAAACACTGTGTGCTGGCTGCTGTCTTTCAAAGAGAAGGCCACAAGCGGCACGCCAATATCCTTGGAGATGATGTTAAACCTGCCTGTTCTCTCAAGTCCTTCCTTCAGAATTCTTGCATTCTCCAAGCAGTTTTCCATGATGTTTTTGTAGCCCTTGTGTTTACATGTGCAAGAAGAACAACCAAATGTATATATGAGAAACAGATATCGCACAAAATGGTGTACTAAAGTACCAATTTAACATCAAGTGTATGATCATCATTTGTACTATTTATAAAATGAAGCAAATTGGTATGCATCTCTGCCTAGGACATTGCTAATATCATGTACCATGCAGTTGTTATTTTATTATTTCTAAATTTTGGTTTAACAGTTAAATTATTGAAACTATGATGAATTTTGAAACTAATCAAGACATAAAGTACCCACTTCTATGATATTTTAAAAGAACAATGATGTTGGTTTATCTTAAAGTTCTGGTCTTTTGAACTAATGCTTCCATTCATGTTAGTGGCTGTGACTTTGGTGAATGCCATTCTTGTCATGAAATCCATGTTATTAATTTGGAAACAAGTTAATCAAATCATTTTCCTAACTAATGGACCGGACAACAATTACACAACAGTAGAGTCCACAGGGAAGCCTCTTATCATAATTGAAAGATTTAACTCTATTATACAGTGAATTCCATATGACAAAGCATGTGAAAAAAAGGAAATATGTGTAAAAAAAATAATCTCTAATTTTTTCCCTGGGAAGTTATTGTTTTCTACATTTAGTAACCTAAATTAAAACAGAGATAAGAAAGATTCAGCACCAAGATGATAGCATGATTACCTCAAAGCCAAGCCGGATAAATTGATAATATTGAGCAATAATTTGACTAGATCCTGTCAAAAGAAATACAATGAAATGGGAAGGACAAAAAAAAAAAGAATATAATGCTAAAACATTCATATGATTGCAATAGAAACCAAATAAAACTAATTGATTTCCCGTGCTTATTACTTCTGGTATCTAATCAACATATTTAAGAATTAGATCAATAAACACAAACACAATCCTAAATCCTTTATCACATGTATAATCCAAACAAATTCAATGGGTTGAACACAATTTTGTTTGCAATAACACAAGTTTTGGAACAGTTTTCCTCACAGAAATAGTTTGAAAGTTGAAACCAACTGCGCCCAAGTATGTTGGAAATCTAGCAATAAATAACAGGACATCTCAAAAGTTTTACCAATTCCCATGGGTGGAGTATTGGTCTATACAACAACTTGGTGAATTCTAAGTCTGTACTATGATCATGATGTGTTCTTCATTGCAATTGGCAACAATCATTCAGAAATATAGTTATCTAGGTGACAAATGAATTCAATATACAAAGATTCTTTGAAACATAATTTTCCTCACAAAAATAGCTTGGAAGCAACTACACCCAAACAAATCTGTTGAAATCTAGCAATAACATGCATAGGTCTCATAAAATCTACATTTTGATCAAAGGTAGTATTAATATCAATAAAACATCATTTTTTTTTTTCAGACAGCAAGGTATTATTGAATGAAACATAACATAACACTCTAAGCAGAAATAAGAGAATTGCTGCTCACTTAAAAAAGGGTTTTGATAGATTCTATGTAGACAGAGGCAGTGATAGATAAATTCTTGAAAATAACTTTTAAATGCATTTTGAACCGAATACTTTGGCTGTGAGACATATATGAACAACACCTAAACAACATATAGATACAATACAAAGATACTAATTGAGTAATTGCATAAAAAAAATCAAATACAAGTATCAACTCATATTTATTAGTTGTTTACCTTTGGAGAAATTCAATGTGAAAGTAGGCTGATCAGATCCAAGATAATTTATGTGAAAAACAAGTTCATCTGGCAAGTCATCTTTACTCCTCCAGACAACCCAACCAACACCAGGGTAGACAAGACCATACTTGTGACCACTAACATTGATGCTTTTCACCAATGGCAAACGAAAATCCCACTCCAGATCAGGATAGAGAAATGGGGCAATAAACCCGCCACTGGCAGCATCAACATGAATTGGGGTGTCCCACCCTGTCTCACTGTTCTTCTTAGTGAGAAGTTCATTGAGAAGCTTCACATCCTCAAACTCTCCAGTCATAGTTGACCCCAAAATGGCTGCAACACAGATGGTGTTCTCATCTACCATTTCAACTGCTTTCACAGGGTCCATCACATAGTATCCCTCAGTGAGTTTCACTTCCTTGAGCTCCACCTCAAAGTACCTTGCAAATTTTTCCCAACAAACCTGTGAAGAAAATTTAAACAACATTAAACTTTGAGGAGATATAAAGGCCCCAAAATCTGGCACATGGTTACCAGGTATGTGGTATGGGTACTAGTAAGCAGTACCCGTAAATTCATCACTTTTTACACTATTACTATAGGACTTCCTTTAAAGAGAGCTCGTATGCAATATGTGGTACGGCGAATTTCATACATGGTACATATGGTTATTGAGAGGATTATGTAACTATATTTTTGCACATTAATCAATAAAGCACTTTGTTTCTACTATATTTCAAAATGATATACAGGATTACAGGTACCTATTTTCCATGATATGATCATGCACCTAACACATTAAAAGTTGTTTGAAACTTCATAGCATCAAACACATTTTGAGACCCACCTGCACATTAGCCCCGGTAACTATGTTGGGCTTATCATATGGTTTTCCTTCTGCTTTTCTCTTTCTCTGCCATTTCCTTTTGAAAGCTAGACCTGCTAACATTATTGCCTCTGATGATCCCACAGTTCCCACACCTACTGCAGTCTCATCTTCATTTATAGGAGCATGGAATAGATTTGCTATAATATTAACACACCGGTTCTGCAGAATTTAACAAAATGAAAATAATCATGTTTCATTCTCAAACTTCATCTGAAAATTATCATAAAATGATCAACATATAAATCAGTATCTTCAAGTTTACTAGCGCACTTCAGATACAGAATATAGGCATGCAACGATTTTTCTTAATAAAGCAATCCACTATGAATCTTCATCTGACCACGAAACACATAAGATCTAAAATGTTATCATCATATACACCAAAATTTCAGAAGAAAGTGTCAAAAAAATCAGCAGTATGCTTTTTAGAGTACTTCGTTTTTCTTAATACCCCTACCCTTTCTTTGAAAAATTCCATTTCATCCAAAAGGCAACTTAAGCATAGAATGATAGTTTTGGGAGTAAAGGAAGTGAAGAAAGAAATATTTGGCACACAAGAATCAAACATAAATAATTAACAAATGAATAATTAAAGCCTTTCACACAACTTCAGAAAACAAAACATTTCAAAATTCAAACAATTCTATTTAATTTGTTTGTTTATTTTATCCAAGGTTTTAAATCGTGGTTGCAGTCTTTTCCAGATCCTTGATCTTGTGGGAAATTACACATAGATGCGGCCAAAATCACGATTGAAGACCATCTTTCAAAACGTTGAATTTAACAGACTGAGCTTCAAGGACCTAAATGTTATGATCATATAAAGACACCAAATTACTCATACACAGACCTGAAGCTCAGTGGTGACAGGATACTCATCCATGTCAACATAGTTCTTGTTAAGTGAAGCCATTATGAGTTTGTCACACTCAGGCTCCATCCAAGTGGTCACAAATGAGGCCAAGTTGAGCCTTGGTGTGCCATCCAACATCAACTCATCGTTTATTATCTGATAAGCAGCATCCTTTGGTGTGGAATTCTCTGGTATCTTGAACCTGCATTAAACATTTCCAAACTAATCCCATTCAGAAACCAAACCTTATTTTTCAGCATGTTCTCTATGCTTTCTTCAAAAGAATGGCCATGCCAACAAAACACCAACTAAGAAAAAAGAGACATACCTGGGAATTGGTTCACGCACATATCTGGAAGCAAAAGTAGAGCACAAACTCTCTCTTTGTTCATCTGGGTGTGTGACAGTAGATGTGATCACCATGTTTGGATGCTTTCTTCTGAGCAAGTGATGCAGAACTGTGAAACACTGAACTTTCGGGAGAGAGGGTGACCACTTATATTAGGAGAGGTGGCAATTTTCTCTTTTAACTTTGTCTGGGACTACAATGTTTGTCACTTTTCTAATATGATATTGTATTTTCATCTAACTTTTACTTATTTTCACCCTCATTCTATCCAAGTTATGTAAAACATAATTATTTAATTATGATATTGATATAAAGTATTTTATAATAATTAATATTATTAAAGTAGAATTTTCATTCTCAATCTCAACTAAGTTTTTTTTTTCTTTAGTTAGAAAACTTAACTACTGAATGAGTTTATTTCCAAAGGAAGCATGCTTTATTAAGTTCATCATTTATTATAATTATCTTAATTTTTTTCCTTTTCTTAAATTATAATAAAGATAACAATACCATTAACTTGACGTGGTTAAAAAGCAGTGAGTAAGCGTTTAATGCACGAGAATATTTGGATTTTATTGAGACAATTAAATTAAAATATATCACACATAACTATGCATAAGATGAGGTATTTGGTATTAAGAAATGTCACAAGTCACAAACACGTAGTGAAGGAAAGAGCGAAAGAGCCACCTGGTGAGAAATGAGCGCCTAGAAAAGTGAAGTTTCTGTGTGTGAAGTCAATCTATACCCCATTTTGATCCAACGGTCAATATTCAATCGTGCGGTGCAACTATTTTGGTAAGTTGGTAACGCATACACATAACATGGGGCCGAAGAGTGAGAGAGAGAGAGAGGGGAAAGTGAGGAATAAAGAAAAAAAAATGGGGAAAAATTAGTTGTAAAGTCAATAAAGTTGTCAATCAATCAAAAATAAAATTATTGTAAGAATGAACAAATTTGATATATATGACACCCCTTGTTAAATAGATGTACAAAATTTTAGATTTAAATTTTATTATCATTATTCTATTCATAAATTTTTTTTGTCACGAAATGGTAATATAAAACATTTTTACATTATCATTATATACATCATTTACTCGTTAAATTAAATAATTTTTTATTTGACATTTATTTACATGTTAAGAGCTATATTATAAGTTAAATAAAATTTATTTAATGAAGTATTTATTATTTTAAATTTTAGAATTTATTTATTCAATGAAAAATTAATTTAGCTCTCAGATTATTAAATTCAAAATTTAAGAAATAAAAATTGAATTTTGTTTATTTTTTATTTTTTTAATATATGTATTTTGTGAAAAGTCATTTAAACTTGATATGAGTAAAATTATTATTTAGATTTAAAATATTTGAATTAATTACTTATATGTATGAATAAAATTGGATTAAAATCCTTTAAGCAATATCTCAATTATGAAACTTATAAATGAAAAAATTGTAGAATTAAGAAGAAAGACTCACTAAAAAAGATTAATTATATTTTTTTTATAGAAATTAATGTTTATCAACGTCAGTGAATATTTCATACTAAAGGAATGGTGACAAAAAAAATCACATGATATCATCTATTTTAAAGTTAAATAAAATTCATTTTAAATAAATTTTTATAATTAATATAATTATTTTTAATTATAATTTACATTCAAACGTTTATTTATGACTAAAATATATTTTGAGCCCTTATTTTCTTTTTATAAATTTCTTTTTGGTCATTAAACCCTTGAAAGATTTATTTTAATTTTTTTTAATTAATTTAAATACAAAATTTATTTCATGAAAATTGTAAAACCCCTAACTTATATTATAATTAAAAAATATTATAAACATAATGAAAATTACATGAACAGGTAACTCTCATAATCAATAAAAGATTGAAAAAAAAAATCTAATATCATATGTTTTTTAGTTATTGGTAAAACTCGAAATTTACACTACTGCAATATATATATATATATATATATATATATATATATATATATATCTTTTATGTACAAAAAATAATAAAATTAGTTTTATGAGTAATTATTGTAATTTTAAAATAAAATTAAAAAAATGAGAATTTACTTGTAAGAAAAAGTAGTTTTAAAAATTAATAAAAAAAAATAAGAGAGAAAATAGTCCATATAAAAATGAAAGTCAATAGTTATCATAAAAAATATTTCTTTTATATAATAATTAAAGAGGTCGAGACACTTCATAATTTCAATAATAAGATATTAAATAATTATGAGAAATTATTTAAAGAAAATATAAGAAATTATATTTTTTTAACACTCAAGAAATATAATAATTCATTTATAAGTAAAGACAAAAAATAGTAAAATATTATATTATCTCCTTTATAATTATCTCCTTTATAATAATTATAGATAAGTATAAATAAAAAGAGTTCAAAATTGTATTCTAAACTTAAATAATAATTGTATTCTAAACTTAAATAATAATTGTTTTCAAAATTGCAACATTAATTTAATTTTGAGAGTTAAAAACTTAAAATAAATCTTTAAGACATAGAAAACCAATTTTTTAAAAAATAGAAGATAAAGAATTAAAAATATATTTAAATTTATATTATTAATAATTACACTAAACACAAACTACCATATTATAAGGTGTCATGCTCTTCATATATATTATATATATATATATATATATATATATATATATATATTTGGTTTCAAAAGAAAGGAAAGTTAGAAGGCCACTAACTAACCCTAAGCGTGTGGTTCAATGATAGGGGTTGATCCACACTTAAGCAAGGTCAGGGGTTCGAATCCTGCCTTGTGTATGCAGCCGCGTTAAATCTTGAGACCAGCTATCCTACCCTTTGAAGTGCCTCCAACGTAGCGAGGAGATTAATCACTGCTATCGGTGGTAGATACTCTAGGGACGAAACAAAAAAGGCCACTAACTTAATTTTCCAAAACTGAGAGAAAAAATTATCTAAGGAAAATATAATATCTAACACAACATTATCCAAAGTATTAAGAAAGTTATAATTAAGGGGTCAATCATATTTTAATATAATCCTTAATAAGTTAATAAATATTGCAAATCTTCCCAATGTTTTGGAGTCTGTCTAGCTAGCCTCCAGTCACTAGTTTAAAAATTGGATCAGATCGGTCGGTCCGACTGGAAATTTGTGGTCTAGTTAGTCCAAGTCTTAAGTTAGATCGATTATGTATTTAACTCGTTTTAAATCGAAGTGAACCATTCAATTTTTCGATTTGACCAGTAAACCGATGAGTTAAATCGGTTCAACCACAATTTTTTTTAAGGGACCGCAAACCACAAAAATAACAATGAAAATTGAATCTTGTTAATGGAAGAGCAAAGAGTTGTTCATGTATTTGTTTGTAATATATGCAACTTAAATAACTTTTATAATATATTATTAATTTTAAATTATATATTTAATAATATAATATCCGTGTAGATATTACATATATTATTTTGTGATATCAATTGCAAGTATATTATATATGTACATATTATTTATATTTTTAATTTGTATTAATATACAGTTTAACATGTAATTTTTTTTATATATTTCTTTATACAAAATAAAAATAAAGATAATTTTAAATAAGATGGAAATTAAAATTTAAAATAGGATATGAATTTATTAAAATTTATAAGTATAAGATAGGTTTAACATAAATATTTTTTTTAAAAAATAATAATGAAAATCGGGCTATACGGTTCAATTAGTGACTCACTAATTCAATCGTTCACCCACTAACCCAATATCTTAATCGATTTAATGACCGGTTCAATTTTTAAAACTATGTAAGAACCCTAAATCTCCTTCACTTTCATTTTCTCTCAAGTCTCTAAACCTTGATTTCTGATTTATTTTCCCCAAGGCTGAGGTGGTAAGCACTAGAGCTGTTCATCAACCATTCTTCATCTTCTTCAAACTCAAAGTCGTGCGGAGTTTGTCGTTCACTTCTTTTTGAGGTAAGGGAAGCTTGGATTTTGGGGTTTTGGGTTTAAAACATGGTGCTATTAAATGAATTGAAGATTATTGTTGATAGATTTGGGAAATCTGCAAATGTGGGAAGGATTCAAAGGGATTTTGTGTGGAAATTGGGGATTTTGTTATTCTTGAGGCAAGATTGAAATTTGATGATCTTCTTGAGCTTTTGTGAATGCATGTTGTTCTTCTTGAATTTTCTGAGTTGTATGGTGTCAATTTTTGAAGTATTTTGGGTTACATGTCTTGATCAATTCATAGATTGAGAGGGTTGGGAGATTTGAGTTGTTCATGTACTAGTATGAATTTTCTGCATTTGGGACTCTAAGCATGAGTTTTCATGCTTAGCATGACAATTTGTAAATGCTGCTGGAACTCTGAGGCTAAGCGTGGGATTCAGGGCTTAGCGTGAGAGTCACTAGTGCAAAATATAGAATCTATGTCAGTGTTTTCTCGTCGAACATAAAAATATCCGACATAAAAAAGACACGGCGGAAATTTTGAAAATAAAACAAACTTTTTTACGTCGGACTACATTGGGGCCGACGTAAATTTCAAAATCTACGTCGGATGTGACTGATGTCCGACGTAGATTATCAATTTTATGTTGGCCCCAGTGTATTCCGACGTAAAAGAGCTTTTTATTTTCCCTCCAGCCACTTCGTCTTCTTCGCGCGTGCCATATTTACAGAATAGAGGAGGGTTTCTATTGGTGGGGCGATTTCCGGCGAGGCTTCGTCGACTTAGTATGGGCATTTTCGGTCATTGTGCTTTCCGGTGAACGGCTTCTCGACTACCGTGGGTGGTTCTAGATCTTTCTCACTGATCGGATTTGAGGTCAGGGTTTCTTCCTTCCTTTCTTCGTTCGTCGTTCCTTCCTTCCTTTCTCGTTGCCTTTCTTTTTCCTCTTTATTTATTTTGGATTCTTTCTCACTGATTGGATTTGAGGTTAGGTTTCTTCCTTCCTTTCTTCGTTCGTCGTTCCTTCCTTCTTTTCTCGTTGCCTTTCTTTTTCCTCTTTATTTATTTTGGATTCATGCATTCCTCATTAACACTAGAAAATATATTTATGGTTGTTACTTGATGGGTATTGAACTGCAGTACTAAACATTTTTTAGGTTTAATAATTTATTGGGTCAATTTGTGTGTCTTTCTTGCGTCTTTCTTGTGGATGTCTAGCAATAATTTTACGTCGGACATATCAC